GAACCAAAATTGTATAGAATTTTTAAAGGTTTTAAAAAAAGTCAAAAATTGCAGCGTTGCCACTGCAAAACACCCCGTTTTTACGATGTTTTCAGGAGAACGCTCTTCGGCAGCTAACAGAATGTAAACATACAAATAACTTCAGAACTATCAAGTTTTTCTTTTGAGTTTTCCTATAGAAAATATATCTCTCGCCATAGACAACAAGAAAACATAAAAAAATGCTGTGTAGTTGATGCAACAGCGAAGTTTTTCGAAATTTTTGACTTTAACGTTGCAAGTTCTTTGATGCAAGTTTAACATTGCAAAAACTCTCTAGCTGGTCGTTTACGATTTACCGACTGAACCAGAATTGTGTAGAAGTTTTTGTGTTATTCACAAAAACCAAAAATTGCAACGTTGCATTGCAAAACACCCCGTTTTAACGATATTTGCAGTAGAACGCTCTTCGGCATCTAAGAGAATGTAAACATCTAAATAAATTCAAAACTATCGAGTTTTCCTATTGAAAAATATCTCCATTGCTATAGACAGCAAGAAAACTTCAAAAAAATGCGGTGTTGTTAATGCAGCAGCAAAGGTTTTCAAAATTATTGACTTTAACGTTGCAAGTTCTTTGATGAAAGTTTAACATTGCGAAAACTCCTTAGCTGGTCGTTTGACATGATTTAGCGACTGAACCAAAATTGTATAGAATTCTTAAAGGTTTTAAAAAAAGTCAAAAATTGCGGCGTTGCCACTGCAAAACACCCCGTTTTTACCATGATTTCAGGAGAACGCTCTTCGGCAGCTAACAGAATGTAAACATCTAAATAAATTCAAAACTATCGAGTTTTCCTATTGAAAAATATCTCCATTGCTATAGACAGCAAGAAAACTTCAAAAAAATGCGGTGTTGTTAATGCAGCAGCAAAGGTTTTCAAAATTATTGACTTTAACGTTGCAAGTTCTTTGATGAAAGTTTAACATTGCGAAAACTCCTTAGCTGGTCGTTTGACATGATTTAGCGACTGAACCAAAATTG